CTATAGCCAATCTGCCAGCAAGTTCTTTCAATTCTACCCCTACAAAATGTGCAGTCGTGAGCCAGGCACAGGGGCACGTATTTATAATCCCAGCTCTCTGGGTGACTGAACCAGATGAAACTCAGCCTGCAAAATTTAGCAAAAACTTGCTTCAAATTTTTTAAAATAAGAAAGTGGTCAGGAATGTAGCTCATCATGAAGGCCCAAGGTCCAGTTCCGAGCACTGCCCCCTCCCAGTTGTGTACCCTAGAGTGTACCCTGTGGTTTGAACGATTGGAGCCAGCTGACCTCTCGCTTCAGTGCCACACTTGGGCCTCACAGTTCTCGGGACATGAGCTCTCCTCCACACGTCAGCCCTTTTTCAGCTCGAGCCCTTCCCTGAAGCCTTTTGCTGCTATTTTTCACAGATAGCCCATTTGAAACTTTTATTTCTTAGGATGTTCTAAATCCTCTCCTTCTAGAGACCATCCAATGAGCATGGTTTCATATCTCACTGTATCTCCTGTATCTTTCCTAGGAGGATTTATCACACTTTACAGATCCATTCTTAATTTTATTCACTTGTTTGTTGCCTCTATTCCTTGCTTGAACCCTAGTTTGAAGAATGAAAAGACCAAGTCTTTTCATTCAGAAATATACAGAGTCTGCTTCAAAAAATGTATATACACTTCAGCATTTTGCTGTACCAGTAAATGTCTGGAAGAAAATGGCCCCACTTTGAGTATCTCTTTTAATTGTGCAGACCAAGAGTAGCTTGAATTAATCTTATGATAGCTCAGTAAATTTAGAATTAAATATTTGTACTTTTTTTCTTTTCCTGATGTATACATTTTTAGAGGACTCTATATTTCTGTATCCACGATATCTAGTATCATTTTTGAGGCTTGGCATACATACAATTCCTGTTTGTTGAGTAAGGCGATTGTTTTAGATGAAGACTATGACTCAAAGCACAGTGGAAGAACTTGTCAAATTGTAAGTTTAAATTTCAAGATTGGGATTCAGGCTCATTCCTTTCCCACCACACGGTAAAAGCATCTCTACAGGTGACACAAATACAGGAAATTCATCCTCTGCAGGGGAAGTGAAAGAATAAATCTCTGACCCTGTCCTGTCCCTTTCCCCATCTCCGTCTCTGCCCCTCTTCCTCTCTTTCTCCCTCTCTCTCTCTCTTTCTTTTTCTCTCTCCCTGAAATGCAACCATAAAACCCAGGGCTTCATGCATTCTAGGCAAGTGCTCTGCCCAAATGTCATGGCTTGTGTCTAGATGTCCCCCTAAAGCCTTATGTAGTTGTAGGTGGGGCTTTTCCAGACATGGCTGGATCTAGCATGTGTGATGCTGGAATTGATTCAAGGCACAGTGCTAGGGTCAAGGGTGCTAGGATTAAGGGTGTGAATGCTACCACCCTAAGTAGCCTGGATAAGATATGAGGGATAGAAAGAGATGTAGTTTCCCCTCATTTCTTTGCTACCTTCTGCCCACCACAAACTGTTTCTCCTCTGCAATGCCTGTAAACTGCACCACGCTGCCTTGGAGCCAGCTGCCTGTGGACTGAAACCTCCACAGTGTGCCAAATAAATCTTTCCTCCCTTAATTTGTGGTTGTTGGGAATTGTGTCTCAGCCATGAAAAAGTAACTAACACTCCACACTACATTCCAAGTCCTTTTTATTATTTTATTTTGAGACAGACTTGCCATGTACCCCTGGCTGACCTCAAACTTGCAATCTTCCTGTCTCAGTCTTCCAAGGAGCTAGAAAGAAATTCTCTTCTAAAAAATAAGTATAACTACTATACCAATATTTATCAAGATCTAACAATTGCTAGGTGGTACACAGAGGATATTCAAGCACATAGCCATTACCACTGGGCACTTACACAGAAATAGGATGGATACATTGCCCACATATCCTCTAGATCCAAGAACAGAGCCATTGACAGGGTTCTGGGAACCCTTTCCCCACTCACCACCAGGATAGGCAAGCAACAACACAAAGATGAGTGAGCCCTCCATTTCAGCAAAACCTACGAGCTCAGAAATGCCTGAGACATATAAACACATGGATGCACATAAAAGACCATGCAGGGTAGCATTTCTTATAATGAAACATGTACTATTATAGTGTTTAAATTTATAAATATACATGTTATATATTTGTGTGTGTATTCAGACATATATATGTGTTTACATACACAATCAAATGTATGTACAGCTTTACCTAGACCCATATATATTCATCTACAGATGTGTCTGTGTGTATAAACAGGCATTTTTGGAGCCAAAAACCTATATCTATATTTCCTATTGTACCTTATGCATGCTGTGCTAATGTATGAAGACATAAGCATGACCCTGGTATGCCACATTTAAGCTATATTGTTTAATACCTATTTGCTTAGAAAGTTTTTAATACCAATACTACCTGCAAGCATTGGTGAACTTTTTCACAGTGACATTCTCTTTTGAGAATGGAAAGAGAAATGCTACTGAAAGAAATAAAAGAATTCCCACAAAAAGGAAAAATCAACCTACATTTTCAGTGAATTCTGTCACAGTAACTCCTGGGGTCCCAGAGTGTGAGAATATTAAAATCTGTGGTGGGTACGCACTTATTCTATCCTGGGGAGGCCCCTCTTGCCAGAGGTGGTCACATGGTGCTCAGCATCAGAGATGGAAGCCAATGCTCTGGCCACGACAGCTCTGCAGAGCAGTGCAGACCCTCTGCTGCTTGATGAGTCCACTGTCATTCCCTTTGAACGAGGAGAACCCAAAACTCACTCTCATTCAGTCACTGTAATCGATTGAATTACATGTAATGTGTATTTATAAATATACATTTACATGTACAATTTATTTATGTATATATCGAATTATCTATGTAATTTAGATAAGTGACTGAATTAAATAGATTTGTTACCAGAACACCAGGGTCAGGTCCCAGGATGATGAAGAATGATAGCCAGGGATACAACTTACTGGCACAGCGCCTGCCCAGAAAGTGTGAGGTTGTGAGTTCGATTCTTGGTACCAAAAAAAGAATGAAACAACACGCAGAGGTAGGGTGTAACCAAATTTATTTACAAGCTGTTGAGGCAAGGGAATAAAGCTCCCTGTTAACTGGGAAGGCATCTGAGCAGGACACTCATGAAGGCTCTTTGTCTAGAAGTTTTATGAGCAGGAAGCCCGGGCACTGTGTAACACACTCTCCACCCCACAGGAGTTCACGTATTTCTCAGGATCCAACCCACACCTTGTTTATGCAGTGCCCATGTGGGGCTCATGTGCTCCTCAGTCCACGTCTTTCCTGATTATGCTCCGGGAGGTCCCAAACACTGACAGGCCTCCTGGTAGGTGCTTTTGTAAGACCCTTGAAGGGTCCTGACCCAGTAGGCTCCAGTTTGAGCCTCCTGACTCCATTCTGGGGCCACATTCTTATTGTCTACAGAACCCTAACACCTGTTACAAATTGATTAGGCCTATCATGTGATTCTTTATAGTCAAAGATAGCCCATTTTGCAAATCCCAGCCTTCTATTAATGCCTTTTCTAAAAACCATATTAGAGTTTAGGTCTTCAGACCCAGGTTCATAACTTTCCTCCAGGCCACTCAAGCCTTCCCACAGGTGACATAAGCATGGTGCTCCAGAGAACCCACTTGGCACAGTACCTACTCCCTAGGAGTGAGATATGTGATCCTAAGAGCCAAAGAAGACCTCTCAGCAGGTTTGTCTAATGCATTCCATCCCACAGCCTGGTGCAGCCCAGCCCCAAGGTCCTGAAGTCAGTTCCTGGGACTTGTCATGGCCAGTTCCAAAACTCTGTTCAAATACTCTGTCATTGGACATTTTCTGTTTCCTCTTTTCCCTGCTGATCAGAAGGGCTCTTTTGCTTAGTCTATGCTTGTTGTAATCTAAAAGGTGCAACATGAAATGTATACTATATGAAAGCTATTCCCCCACCCTTCATGACTTTTAACATATCTAAGATACTATCTTCTCAAGTTCTTATTGGAATCTTTTCACCAATGTGATCATTTCTCAGAAAATGTCTCCATGTATTTAATTCCATCAGACAACCAATATAATTTTAGTTCCCTATTTAGTGTCTTTTTCATGAACCTCTTATTTCAGCTTTAGTCCCAGCCAAATCAAACCCATTTGCTATTTTGGCCATGGATATATCTTTTCCTGTACCCCAGTCCTACTGATCTTTCCCACCATTCCTCCTCCCTGCAGATCCATGTCTGGCTAATTTTCCTAGCTTTTTTGCCAACTATCTGTAGCATTTATGTCATAGGTAGTAACTTTTGTGAAATAGAAATCAAGTTATGGGTAAAACACTTTCGCTCAGTTCAAATGCACTGATCCCATCGTTCTTGCCGCTTTCTGAAGCAGTTCTGGAAGTCCCCTCATGAGGTCGTCAGGGGTGTGATTAAAAACTACGGTGAATATGCTGACGAGTGCCAGCCACAGGAAAGGCACCTAGTAAAACATGACACTGTGTCCACCCCCACCATATTCACCAGCTCTGGTACCACGCGACTTCCAGCTCTTCCTCAGCATCAAAACACCATGCTAGGAAAGCAGTTTGAATGGATTCAGGGTACCAAGGCCGCCCTGGCAGCAAAACTACAGGTACTAAAAAAAGAGGTCTCCCACAATCCCTTCAGACAGAGCCAGGAATCATGGGAAAGGTGTGCTTGACATCAGGGTGGGATATTTTGAGGGGGATAAATGGTAACGTATCTTTTACTCTGTTTTTAAAATCCCAGCACTCATCGTGTTTGATCATACCTCATAGCTATACAAAATTTAAATATAGTTCACATGTTGACATAGCAAACAAAATGCACCTCATTCCTTCCCCTCAATAAGCAGATGCAACTCAACTGATGTATTGCAACTGTAAAAAAATAATCCAAAATGTGTGGATCTGTGTAAAAGTGTCACACACATCAGCCAGTTGCACTATGATAAACACACAGAGGGTAATCATCCAAATTTATAAATACTCAAACCTTTACTAAAAGCAAAGCACTTGTATATGAAATTGAAATGACATAAAATACTCCAGAAAAGGTTCCATTCCAATGTCCTAAGAACAGGAATTACATTTTCAGATGACACGAAAATCACTACTAATCAAACACATATAAGCATGCCATGACCGCCTAACACAGTGCAAATGCGTAACAGAACCTATCAGAATTTTTTTCTGATAATCAAGCTGAAAAAGCAAAAAAGTAAATAAAGCAATATAAAAATGAAACCAAAGAAGACAAAAGAAAAGTACAACAAAAACATTTGTGATAATCACTGAAATGACTTAAGAATCCAGCTAAAGTCTGGAGCTTTTAGAAAATTCTTCTTCTCATTGTTACCAATAAGCCTTAACAATCAATAAAATGTTCTTAGAATTCTGCAGTCACTTCTAGGGCCTCTTCCACTTCAGGATAAAGAGAAAGTTCCTAAAGAAGGTTTGGGTGAGCTTCCCAGGGGACACAGGTGGGCAGGAAGCCACTGCCTTCCTGCCAGAGCCCCTGGGAGGTCCACCTCTGCCTCTGAGTTCTGCCTTTCCTTTTCCCCAGCTCTCGAAAGAAACAGAGGGGCCTCCAACAAAACTCGTACCTTCTGCTGAGTTGTCATTCTTTCACTGACAACAACCTTTGCCATGATGGAAGCTTCCAGAACACAAATACCTCCATCTCTTAGATGGGCTTGATTTCAATCACCATTCATGCCAGCGGAATTTCTTGTAACATGTCTGTGCTAGCGAACAGTAAAGAATTATTTTACCTTGCCAAAAAGATAAAAAAGAAAATCTTCCCTTCTAGGAGGTTAAAGGAAATTGCAGATCTGTAATTGTTAATATGCCTATTGTAAAGAAGAAGCAATTGAAGGCCAATTGTTAAAGACATAAAATGATCAGAAGAACCAGTACCTATAAAGTCTTGGGAGAGAGTTAATATTTTATGGTCTATTCAAAAAGCAAGACTATTCTAACCCTCATATGAAAGTCTTTCAAAACTTCATAGGTGGAGAATCTTAAAAGCACCGTTCATCAGGAAATTTTCACATGTCAAACGCCTTAATATAATTTTTAAATGGGAATTTCAAAATATCAGCTAGAATTATGTCCTGAATTGAGGTGCTTGATTTTTACATATTTTCAGCCATATCACATTATATAATGAACCCACTTTAAATTTATAAAATCTATACTTGTTTTATGTAAAATTTGGCATACAGATCTGCCAGTTTTAAGTGTAGTTTAAAGTTTGTTTGAACATGCACAATTAAGAGGATGAAATAGGCAAGCAAATTAGTGTTGGTAAGGAAACATAAAATACACGTTTTTGGCTTATTACTGAGGGCCATGTTAACTTAGACGTCTGTCATTGCTGCTAACAAGAATAACTGTTGTCTGTGTTTCAGGGGTGACTCATTTGCTAACAGGAGTCACTGAATGCCTTTGTGGGTAGGTATGTGAGTAGAGGAGAACTAAAAGAAATCCTCAGGCAACATGTTTTCGTTCTTAATTTTTCTCCAAGATTTTGTTTTTAAATTAACAGCAGAATCAAATGCCAAAAAAGGCAACTTTAAACCATATCTTGATTTGCCTTAAGTAATGGTCTGGTATTACTGGGCCTTTACAACCTGCCTGGACTCCAAAATGTGCCATGAAGAGAAACTAAGGTACTGTTTCCTGGAGAAATGGGGAAATAGCACTTAGATAAGATGGGAACATGTAGGTTCAGGAGAAATTCTAACACGTAACCATCAGAGGACGTCACAGGTGCAAGACTTCATTCCAAAAACCAAGTAGGAAGGTATACCCACTAATTTCATACTCATATCTCTAAAACAAAATTAAAAAAAAAATAGGCTGTGTTTTAAAATCCTTCTAGAAAATGCGCGGGCCTCAGTTTGTTTAGTGGTGTAACTGAATGTGCCGTCCAACCACTAAAAAGAGCAAGCCGGCCAGCAGAGAAAAGAATATCCCTGCCGGGGCCACGAAGAAAGACCAGCCGAAGAGCATGGACGGGGTGAACTCCAGACAATCCTTCAGCTTCTCGATCCGGTAGCTCTCCAAGTCAGCCACCAGCTGGACCCAGATGACAAACAGCAGCACCACGGCAACAAACAGGACCCCTGGGAGAGGGCAAGAGAGAACTTAGTGGGTCTGGTGCTTCAAGACACATACTTAGCTTCAATTTTCCAAGCATTGAAGGGAGAGGTGTTATCGGGCGCTTACTGTGTACCAGCACTGTGTCAGATGTCTGAATCAGAGATCCTAGCTCTGTGGAGTTGTATTCTAACACAAATTCATGTTTCTTACCTTGTGGCTGTTTTACACTGTGCCTTTTAACATTTTAAATAAACCAAGGATATATGTATTATTACACATAAAATATACACACATGTGCACCAGTTTTAAGTACACATGGACACAGCTGGTACAGAGCTGATTTTGAACTCAAGTCTTTCTGCCTTTTGTGCTAAGCTCCCCAGCTCACTAAGCTCACATTAAATATTAGCATGGGGACATAAACCAAAGATGGAGAAGGAAACTCTACATATACCCAAAGAAACATGTCCAGTCCTGTAAAACTGAAACACAGATATGTGTTGGCCACAGCATCTGGACATGGTATCTTGAGAGAATGTGTGAAGAGAATCAATGATAAAATATTCCTGGAGAAATAAAACCACAGATTTCAGTTCAAGAATCTTTAAGGGAAAGAAAAGGAAGGGAGGAAAGGAAGCGGGAGGGAAGAAGAGAGGGAGGGAAATAGGAAGGAGAATGAGAAAAAAAGAGACAAAAAGAAAGAGGGGGAAGGAAAGAAAGAAAATTAGCCAGAAGGCAGTATCAGGATTTATCAACAATTCCCAGGTAACTGGAACCCACCAGTTCAAAAACACTCTTGGACTTCTAAGATTAGAGAAAGTACTTCAAAGTTGAACCCTTGATCTTCACAAATAGATATGACAGGAGACCACTGTGAGTCATGAAATTTGAGACTATCTCGAGGCAAATTTTTCCATGTTAGTATTACTGTAATCATGGGAAGAGACCACCATGTCTGTGAATTGGTTAGTGGCTCCTCACACAAACCACACAACCCAAATGCTTCAAATTTGCCCTAAATCAAAATAAGAACTACCTGTTCTTTGTGCAAAAGTTCAAGCACACCAAGGACTATAGAAGTGAGCCGCAGGTACTGGGTTAGTTTTCCATCTCTGAGTCTATAATCCTGAGGAACTTCTAAGGAGAAACACATGGAGGAAAGACTGATTTGGCTCATGGTTTTCAAGGTTTCAGTACACAGTCACATGGCTCTGTTGTTTGGGAGTCTTGTAGTGCAAGCATGTGGTAGAAAATTGCTTACTTCATGGTGCCTTGGAGACCAAAAGCAGCAAGAGACAGTGAGAGACAAAAGGTCAGGGTTCTGACATCCCATCTAAGGGCCCAGGGACCTAACTTTCTTCCACTGGACCTGCTCCTAAGGATTCTGCCATATCCCAACAGCACCACGCGCTGGGGACCAAGCCTTTAACACCCAATCCTTGGGGGATACTCCATGTCCAAACTACAGAAGACACAAAGCCTCCGTATCCCAAGTGCCATAATATCTGAAAAGCAAATGCAACTCCAGGAGCAAGAGCAGAGGAACAGAACATGAGGTATATTGGTAGAAGTGGCTTTGAAGAGGTAGGAATCTATTAAACTTATGCTATCCAAGTTGCTGCTTTCCTAAGGACATCTCTTCTCTCTTGGGCCATCACATCTGTTATGGTTTACCTAGATGTCCCCTAAAGCCTCCTGTCATTCTAGAGGACCTCTGGGAGGTGACTGAATTATAAGGGTTTATGGCTGACATGCTGTTAGGAAGTGGAGCCTGGTCCGAAGAGGTGGTCTCTAGGGCTTGACCCAGAAGGTTATATGTCCCTCTCTGGCTCCCGCCTAGACTCTGCTTTCTGTCTACCATGAGGTGAGCAATTGTTCTCCACCAGGCCCCTGTACCAGGCTGTCCTGCCTTGGAACCAGGTGACTATGCAAGGACTGAGACTACTGAAACGAGAGCCAAAATAAACCTCGCTTCTTTTACATCATGGGTGTCCCTAACTTTGTCTCAGCAACGAGGAAAGTAGTAAGACAACATCCTAAAAAAGTCAAGACGTAGAGACAGAGGAAGGGAACGTAAGAGTGTCACAGTGAGGCAGCGCCATTGTGCCTTCTCCTAACTGGGGACAGTGCAGAACAAGCACAGCAACTTCACTAATAAAAGCATTCTTCAGTGTGGTCTGTGGGGCAAGAGCAAGGCTCACACAGATCTAACAGCAGGGGAGCCACAGCACAGCGAACCACTGAAGCCACAACCAGCTGGCCAGCAGTTCCCAGCGGGCATACTTCCCATGTTGACGACAGCAAAGCAGTGGTCTTGTTAAAGTCAGTGATGGCAGAAGCATTTGCATAACATCCCCTGCCTCCTGTGAACACCTTGCAAACCTTTGTGCTGTTCATTTGTATACTTTTTCCTTCGCTGCATCATGTAAATTTCATGCATTCAGATAACTTCATGAAAAAAAGAAATTGCCTTTGTGAAAAACCAATAGCCTCATCCTCATCTTTCCAAAAGTTGTAAACCCATTACTGAATTTGGAATATGAAAAAGCCACGCTGAGTAATCATGTAGATGATTCTTTATAAGGAAGAGTTAACCTCCATTTAGACACCCCTGTTACTTGAGAAGAAATTACATCAGGAAAGCACTGAAGAGTAGTCACTCCTGCCTCTATAGTTCATTAAGGGGAGATTCAGTCGATTTAATTTGTATCAAATCAGCTTATGATTATATCTCACCTGGGGTAAGACAGTCAGTGCCTCCCTACCCATTAAATTATTAACCAACGTGGGAGGGGCCAAGGAGCTGACAAACACGGAGAAAGTTCTTGCACCCAAAGATAATGCTGTGACTGATAAGGCAGCAAGAATTGATCATGGGGACCCACATGAGGTCTGTGGCCAAAGAGGAAGCTGCTACCTGTAGTGAGAACGACAGGAACTAAACCATTAGGACCAATTGAGGATGTGAGCCTCACTGCTGGAAAATCCTCTGCACATGTGAAAAGGATGGGAAGCCAGAGTGAGCCCTGTGCTGGATGACAGGGACTGAGCAGGTCGGTGTGACCTCATGGAGTCTAATAAATAGACAGACACTAGAGAGATACAGATGGGTCCATCGATGACGGGTGGAGAGATAGATGGGTAAGAAGCAAATATAGAAGTGAAAGTGTGTGTGCATGTTCATTTAAATATCCATGAAGAGCCACGTACAGTTCCAGGTTCAGTTCCCTGAGAAGGCCTGGAGTGTCAATCCTCGAGAAGGTGGAGTTGACCGGTTGTCCAGATCTTGGCTTCTAAGTATTAGAAGCAGTGGCTTCTCCATCAGGCACCGGATCCAGGCTGGGTCTGCAGCTCACAATGAGTCAGGGTCCTCTGGTTGTGGGGGAAACTAGGGTTGTGCTCAAAGATCCTCCAGCCAGCAGGCACTCCTGCAGCCCAAACCAAGGCAAGCTGATCATCAGACGAACAATGATCATGTCCCATTAAAGCTTAGTGAGCAAAGTAGAAGCTCATGGTGACAGACACAGGAGAGTAAAGAACTATGTGGGAGAAGAGAATTCGTTTCCCTACAGTAGGAAAACAAATTGTAAATGTAGAAGGAAGGGCAGAATCACTACATGGTAATCATTTAAGTAACACTTAAGTAAGAAAAATGGATGCTAAAACTAGAGTATGAAATTGGGATGAATCAAAGTTTGAGTATATAGGCTCAGACTTTCTTTGCACAAAATTTTATAGCAAAACTAAAAACCAGAAAACACCACCTTGTTCAAGTGATTGAGGCCAACATCACTGAGGTAAACATCACATGTCACTTGGCAAAGCGTGATAGAGTGAATACAGCCTTACTGCTGTGATGCTACAGCCCAAAGTACAGAATTTAAATCCAGTCATGAAATCTCAAGCAAACCCGGACTCAAGACCAGTCCACAAAGTCCTAGGACCACACTTTTCAACCATGTCAGGGTCACTAAAGTCCAAGAAGGTGCTGTTCTGTATCGGTGGCGATGCCAACCACACAAAATGTAATCATGAGCATGGTCCAGAATTGGACCCTTTTGTTAGAAAAGGTATTAAGAGCACAATTAGAAAAAATTGCAACAGAGTCTCTGCGTGAAAATATAGCTTGTATGTAAATTTGAAGACACTACAAAATGAAGACCAAAATAAATGGCTTGAGAACAAGGGTGGTAAAGTCTGTAGCCATGTATACTGAGGAGGACAGAGGTAGGGAAGGGAGAAGGGAGGCACGTGTGCCCGCCAGACAAACACGTCTCCCTTGGGTGGGCATCGTGACTGTAATGAATGGTCACATGGGTTTCACCTGCAGCGACTCTAACAGGACAGAGCTGTCACCATAGAAACTCTTCTTCATTGCTGTCTTAAGACTCTTGTTCACAGAACTATGCACAACAACGTGCATCAGTAACAAACGGGTTCCATTTCAAAGCCATTGCCCATCTGGATTTTAGCAGGCACAGAAAATACTGCCAACATTCAGGTTGGTAATTTGTTTTTTAAGATAACATTATACTCAAATATGGTCATATATTTTGAAAGAGAAAATTTATATACAATCAATTTTTATGGTAGCTGTGTTTTTGAAGCTCAGTAAAAATTTTATGAAATATGTCACTGGAGGAAGAATTAAAATAGGGCCTCAAAGCCCTAGTAAGTTTACAGTTATCATAAAACCAGGGACAAAAAAATTGAGCAACAAAAACACACTGATTTCCTATAAAAGAAGCCTATAGGAGACCCATTCAAGCTTACTATTTTGCATGGACTATCTTAAAAAGTTAAAATCATTTTCCCTTTACATGTCATAAATTAATTGGAAAGCATTTCTTTTCCCCCAAAAAAGGGCATATAAAATATAATCACAAGTGGACATTAGAACACAACTGTTGATGCTAAGTATTTAGAAACAATCACAGTCAGAGAAAAAACACAAGAACTCCCCCTCGGCCAAGTCAAACCCTGAGAAATAAAGTAGTATCACCCTAATATTTCACATAAACAA